ACCTCTCCTCCCCCCCCCCAACCACTCCCTCTCCCCTTCTCAGGGTCACGGGTTCCCCGCTTTGATCCCACCGCCTACGTTCAGGACAAAGAGCGTAAACAGCGAGAGGCCGAGGTGAAGAAGTGAGTGCACTGAGACGGTGTTTATACCCCCCCACCCCCCCCACCCCACCCTCGTCTTCCCCCTCTAACCTCCGCTGCTTCCCCCGCGCCCCCCCACCTCCCCGGCCTCCCCGTCCCTCCTCACTGCCCCCCACCTCTTTCGTGGCTGTGACAGGGATTTTGGTTGTGATGTTGATCTCTCTTCTCTTCCCCTCTCTCTCTCTCTCCCCTCTCTATCTCTCTCGCTCTCCCCCTCTGTCTCTTCTCTCTCTCCTCTCTCTCTGTCTCGCCCTCTCTCTCCTCTCTCTCTCCCTTCTTTATCTCTCTCCCCCCCCCTCTCGCCCTCTCTCCCCTCTCTATCTCTATCCCCCCTCTCTCTGTCTCTCTCTCTCTCTCGCCCTCTCTCCCCTCTCTGTCTCTCTCTCTCTCACCCTCTCTCCCCTCTCTGTCTCTCTCTCTCTCACCCTCTCTCCCCTCTCTCCCTCTCTCTCTCGCCCTCTCTCCCCTCTCTGTCTCTCTCTCGCTCACCTCTCTCCCTCTCTCTCTCGCCCTCTCTCCCCTCTCTGTCTCCTCTCTCGCCCTCTCTCCCCTCTCTCTCTCTCTCTCTCTCTCGGCAGTGCCAGGCCTATGCGGGGCCGGAGCAGTAGTCAACGCAGACGAATACAGTCCAGACTCCGAGAGCCTGACACCAGACTGCAGACAGGCAACCGAGCCCACAGCTCAACCGGTGACTCGGGGGGGGGGGGGGGGGGGGGGCTGGGAGACATGGGTGGGGCTGGGGGGAGGGGCTGGGATGCATGTGGGTGGGGCTGGGGGGAGGGCTGGGATGCATGTGGGTGGGGCTGGGGGGAGGGGCTGGGAGACATGTGGGTGGGGCTGGAGATATGTGGGTGGGGCTGGGGAGGGGCTGGGAGATGTGGGTGGGCTGGGGGGAGGGGCTGGGATGCATGTGGGTGGGGCTGGGAAGCCTGAGGGCGGGGCTGGGAGATCCAATCCCAACAACATCTCAAATCCCTCTGGGGGGGAGGGGTTGAGCTTTGGTGGGGGGGGGGGGCGTAGCTGGGAAGCCTGGAGGCGGGATTGGGAGCCGCGTTTGGGGGGGTGGGGGTGTAGGGCGGGGAGGCCTAGAGGCGGGGTTGGGAGCTCGGGGGGCGGGACTGGGAGGCCTGGAGGCGGGAGCAGGGAGCGGTGGGCGGGGCTGGGGTGGGTAGGGCGGGGTGGGCCCCCCACACACTCTCTGGGGGAGGGGGTGACTGACCCCCGTGTTCCTGTCTCCCGACACAGAAACCCTGCGCAGCAGATACTCCTCCAGTGACCTCAGCGACTTGGAGGATTCCCGGCCCCGGCTCCGGCCCCGGTAAACACACGGCCACACACTGACCCGTCACGTCAGGAGGACCTCCCGATGGCTCTGGACAGTCAGGGGTTTGGACCCGAGCCGGGGGGGGGGGGGGCGGGGATCGGGCCAGGAGGTGGCGGGGGTGGGGGTAGGAGGGCGACCGAAGAAGAGGCCGAGTTTCGCCCACAAAATACCGTCGCTACACTCGACAATATAATCCGTGAAGCGCTTTGTGACGTCTCAATCACACGATGCGGCATTGAATCAACAACAACTCACACTTACACAGCGGCCCTCACAGTCCCAGAGCGCAGCCCCCGGGCCGGCGGGGGGGGGGGGGGGGGGCGGGGGGAGAGTGACCTTTAAAAGCAAGGATTATTATTATCTCCCCCTCTCTCCCCCCTCTCTCTCCCTCTCTCTCTCCCTCTCTCTCTCCCTCGCTCCCAGGTCACGGGGAAACCGGAAAGCTGCTCAGCCGCTGGGATCTGCTTCCTGGAACACACGGAATGTGGTGAGTCTGTTCCCACACGCGACCCCCCCCACCCCTCCTGCGTCCTGGACAACAACCCCCCCCCCCCACCCTATTCCCCCCCCCCTCCCCACACTGCCCCCCCCACCCTATCAAACACAGGCTCGGTGTCTCGCTCCATCACAGGCAGTCGTTCTGGGACTCTACCTCTGCACGAGGGGCGCTGTGTAACTTCTTGTTAAGGATTCCTGTCGTTATTTTCTGTGGCGTTGGTGTCTCCGCTCTCCCCGGTCAGTGATCGGGGACTCAGGACGTGTCGCTCTTTTCCCCGCAGCCTCGTAGCAAAGCCAACAAGACAAGCCACCTGGCCAGCACCCCGAGCAAGACAGACAAGGCATCCAATAAAGGTCAGGCTGTCCACACTGAGCTGTCTACTGTGCGCGGGGCGAGGCTGGGGGCAGTCTGGGTGTCTGACGCGCACACGGAAACCCGTCACCGTGACCGGTCGGGTGTCTGACACACACACACGGAAACCCGTCACCGTGACCGGTCGGGTGTCTGACACACACGGAAACTCGTCACTGTGGCTTAAGAGTCTCCGAACCCGACTGAGAATTCCCCACATCCCCTCCACACCCGGGAACCCCAGAGAGAGAGTGTCGGGATGGGATGCGCTCTCTCTCTCTCTCTCTCTCTCTCTCTCTCTGGAGGGACGCCTCAATCCCTCCACCTTCCCTCTCTCCCCTCCTTCAAGTCCCATCAGCCACCTCCCCCCCCCACCCCCCCACCCCCGGCTCAGAGTCAGGCCCCGCCACTGTTTAGCTCTGAGATACTGCCCTTGTGGGGGTGGGGGGGGGTGGGGGGCAGATATAAGTGCAAGTTGTTGTCGTTCAAGGTCTGTTTCAAGACCCTCCTCTTCGACCACATCTTCGGTCACCCTCCTACCCCGGCCCTCCACCCCCCTCCTGATCCCGACTCCCAGCTCGGGGCCAAACCCCTGACTGTCCGGAGCCTCGGGACGTCCTCCTGACGCTGTTCTGTGACGAAGGTCCTGCGTGAATGTCTGTTGTTGTTGTTGTTGTTTTTCCTTTTGCAGAGAATTACTTTGATCCCTGTGACCTGTCGGAGATCGATGCCCGGCTCAGCGCCCTGCAGGAGTACATGAAGAGCCTGGACACTCGCACAGCGTAAAGACGTGCGTGGTGTGCGTGTGGGGGTGTGCATGTGCGTGTGGGTGCGTGTGTGGGTGCGTGTGTGGGGTCCCCTGGGCCTGACCAGAGCAGTCAGTGCCGTCACCATCTGGTGGTAATGTTCGCACAGCGCAGCCTTCAAACCCGGTGCGACACTGTTCTGCACAGAGGACAGTAATAACAACAATAACAACAACAATCCTTGCATTTGACCCAGTGCCTTATTACGTCTTCGAGACGTCTCAAAAGCGCTTCACAGGATACACGGTAAAGTGTAGTGACTGTGACGCCCGATCGACTTTCAACTGGGTTCCTGCTTACTGCGAGGTGAACAGATCTGTGCGTCTGTAGTAAGGAAACTTGCCCAATGTTTGGCGCTGACCGGGAATCAAACCCGGGTCCTCTAACCACTGAGCTTCGGGACTCTTTATCTGCATTTTCACTTAACATCACCCACTAATAATAATCCTTACAGGTTCAAGTGACTCTCTCCACCCTGAGACCAAAGGGTCCGAGGAGCTCGAAAAACCCAGCGATTAGCACCTCGGGTGTTTCGCCCCCAAAAAATAGTCAATTCACTTTACAGTCTACGTCGCGTAGACGTGTTAAGACGCTATATCAAATGCAAGGATTATTATCGTGGTGTGCAGTGATACCTAGAGAGTGTGTGTGTGTGCGTGTGTGTGGAGGTGTGTGTGCGCGTGTGCGTGTGTGTGGAGGTGTGTGTATGTGTGTGTGTGGGAGAGGGGTGTTTGGTTTTACAAGTAGATGCCCTATTCTCCTGCACAGATACTGAGATGTTGCTCTGTGACCTGTCTCCAGCCCAGAGCGAGAGCCTCAGGATATTTTGTTCTCTTCGTGGCTCGGAGTGTCCCCAGTGAGTTCATGACTGTAAATCCCAGTAATCGCTTTGTACAGATTTTATTTCCATTTCAATTAATCATTTTAATTTTGTAAATAAATCTTTTACATAATGTCATCAGTGCATTGGCAGTCAAGTAAAAGTAAATAGCACACATTACACAATGAACTCTGAACTTACGGATGAGCACACGCTGCTCACGCCAGCGCCAACTCACAAGTACACCCTTTGGGGGGGGAACAAACCGCGCGTGACCGATCGACACGAAAGTGAGCGCTTCACTCAATCCTAAAGAGGTGATTTCACCCAAATATTTCCAATGACTTGACTCCTATCTGGTATTTTTGAAGACTTTTCTCAAGTCTCTCTGCATCTGTGTGTGTGTGTGTGTGTACAGGAAACCTCACTTACGTCGTATCAGTTGGGACCAGACATTTAGTACGACTTCTGCAAACTATGAGTTATGTCAAACGTGCATAGAACATAAACTCCTGAACAGGACCCGGGCCGTTGTACAACTTTGGTGATTGTACCATTTATACGGAGACTAATGTGAGTTTGCCTTTTCTCGAGTCTGTGTGTGTGTGTATAATCCTATTTGTAATGTTAGTCAGAGGCTAATCTTCCTCCCAGTCAAACCTCACCCTCTTCTCAACTGGTGTCTGTCCGCCCGCACCCCACCCAGGTTTGGGGAGGGGAGAGTAGGAGGGCAGTGGACAGTGAGTGAGCGGGCGTGGGGCAGAGTGGGTGGGGCGGGGGGGGAAATGCCTGGGCTGACTGTGTTTGTTCTCCCCCAGGCGAGCTCAAGGGCAATTGTAGCATCACGCAATGGGGCTGAACATGGCTGTAACGTGCAAGTCAGTGCTCAGCCGCTGTGCAGTATTTACCCAAATGAAACCAAGTCTTGTGTCTGTGTGTGTCTGTATGTCTGTGTGTATCTGTGCTGCACAGGAAACTAACTCGACTCTCGCTTGACTCACTGCAGCCGGGCTGTGGCAGAGCGGAGCGCTGGGGGCACAGGCACACACACACACGGGCAGACAGACAGTCACACACACAGACGGGCAAACACACAGACACACACAGAGGGGCACACGCGCAGACAGACAGACACGCAGACAGCGGGGGGGGGTTTAAGGTAGTCGTTTAGTTGAATAGCGAGAAATTGCCTTCATTTGGGATTCTGTTTGAAATAAACCACCTTTGATGCAGTGACACGGGGGTCGGAATCAACACTTCCATCACATGGGGTTCAAATCCTTCTCCTGGGGGAGGGAGGGTTGTTTTGGAGACGGAAAAGAGAAAGCTCAGAGCTGTAACCCCCGGACACGTCAGTCGGGCTCTGGGAGTGACTGGCTCCCCTCCCAGCATTGCTCCTATAATTCCTGTAAAGGTTACACAGGACTGTAGTTACTCCTATACCACTGTGAGTGACACAGAAGCCAGGCCCCCCCCCCCCCCCCCAGGGAGGCATCGCTGGCACAAACTGGGCCTGTTGTCAGCTGTTGCTGTCTCAACGAATGGCCGTCGGTGAACCCGACTGTGAATAAGGTGACAAACTGGCACCGTGTGGCCTTCTCTCACTCACTCACAGGACAGAGAGAGAGAGAGAGAGCTACTGCTGAGGCAATGTTCTGATACAGGCCATCCCATACAGCGCCCCCCACCACCCCCCCCACACACACACACACACACACACACAGAGACAGCTCCCCTCCCCACCCCACACACACACACACACACAGCACCCCACTGCCGCCCACTTGTCCGATCCTATGATGAAGTCGGTCTCCTCCTCCGATGGCTAACCTGGAGGCGATGCTTTGGCCGAGGGCCGGCTACTGTGCCGGCCGAGGGATGGAAAGCACGAGCCGGTTATTCTCTCGTATGCGAGTGTCCAGTTGCTCTATAGTCAGGCTGAGCTCAGCGATGCCCTGCTCCAGGCTGTGCAATGTGCTGCTCAACTCCTCCTCCTTCTTCCTGGTGTTGGAGGCCTGGCGCATGTACTCGGCCACCAGACAGACGCCCCCCACCACAAACACGATGGCCTCTCCCAGCAGCTCGGACCCCAGCTCCGCCGCCGCCTCCTCGTTCAGGGGCCGGATCTGCGCCCCTTTAAACCCCATCATCCGCATCTTGGTCCTCATCTCAATCCAGTGATACACTGCAACAGGAATCGCACAATCCGTCAGCGTCGCAGTCAGGTCATCACCAGCTCCCGAGAACATCGCGTAGCGCAGTGGTTAGAGCCCTCGCCCCGCAAACGAGAGGACCCGGGTTCGACGTCCCAAGGCGCTGGACAGTGACAGCACTTCTGATCCGAGCTGCGGTCAAGGGGGAGGGGGGGGGAACGGAGACGGGGTGTGTTCGATGGTCGAAGAGGTTCTCGAGGCGGGTCTTGGAGGCGAAGGAGGGGGTGAGGCGGAATGATTGGGGGGTGGAATTCCAGAGGTTGGAGGCAGAGTGGCTGATAAGGCGCTATATCAAATGCGAGGATTATTTTTATTGATATGACTGACTATAGGACCGTTTCAACCCACGACTGTTCTGCGTGGGGGCGGACGCTGCCGCGCGCAACCGGCTGCCGCGTTTCGCCCACAGATGTACAGTCACTGCACTTTAGTCTATTCTGTGAAGCGCTTCGGGTCGTCGAGAAGACGTGAAAAAGCGCTATATCAAATGCGAGGATTGTATATTGTTATTATTATTATTATTATTAACGTCTGTGGGCGATGTCGCCGAGAGGCGGTACAGACAGGTTGGAGGGAGAGGAGGAGGAGGGAGAGGAGGAGGGGGGACAGGAGGGAGGAGAGGTGGGGGGACAGAGCCCTGAGGGACCCCCACACCTGTTGCACTGACTGTCTCTTTGTCACTGTCAGTATCACTGCTCAATGTGACTTTCGCGCCGGACGTCCCGCCCCCACTCCACGGCAACGCTGTCACTCAGAGCTCCTCCCCGCCCCCTCCCCACGGCAACGCTGTCACTCAGAGCTCCTCCCCGCCCCCACTCCATGGCAACGCTGTCACTCAGAGCTCCTCCCCGCCCCCTCCCCACGGCAACGCTGTCACTCAGAGCTCCTCCCCGCCCCCTCGCCATGGCAACGCTGTCACTCAGAGCTCCTCCCCGCCCCCTCGCCATGGCAACGCTGTCACTCCGAGCTCCCCCGGCCCCCTGATTGGCTGCATCCCGGGGGAGGGCGGGGGGAGTTCCTGACGCTCCCATTGGCCGCGGGGGGCGGTGGTCCCTGTCAGTCAGGCCCCCGGTGGTGAGGGGGCGGAGCGGACGGGGGGGGGGGACGGGGACGGACTCACGCTGCGCGGGCGGCAGGCAGACGTAGCTCTTGAAGAACTCGCTCCTCACGGCGCCGGCCTTCAGGCGGTTGGCGAGCGGTTTGCTGAGCTGCCGGATCCCGAGCATCAGCAGCTTGGCGATAGGGAAGGCGCCGACCACCATCCTGCCGCGCGTCACTTCCGCCCGCCCATTCGCTCACGTGACCCCTTTAAAGGGGAAGTCCTGCGCGAAGGCGTCTGTCTCTCTCTCTCTAGGTCAGGGACACGGGCGTCTGCGGCCCCTCGCCTTTAAACAAACGCCGACAACAGTTACCCGCCGGCAGCGCCGGGGCCATCAAAGGCGAGGCGTGATCATTTCCGTTCCCGTGATATTTTGTCCGAGCGGCTTTTGAGGTAAAGGAATCCGGGGTCGGGCGCCTCTTGAGTGGAGGTCGGTCATTGACGTGGGGAGGAGGGGCGAGCGCGCGCGTGCTGGGGGCGGGGCGGGGGATAACAGCCAATGGGGCGAAAGGAAGGGCGGAAAGGGCGGGACCTGCAGTGTGAGCTCGAGCGAGAGGTGGGTGGAGGCTGGTGATTGACGTGGAGCGGAGGCCAATGGAAGGGCGGGGGTGGAGCGACGAGCAGCCAATAGGGGAGGGTGGAGGGCGGGACTTGGGAGTGCGCTCGGGAAGGGAGGGAGCGAAATCGGGTGGTTGGTGATTGACGTGGAGCGGCGGCCAATGGGCAAGGCGTCGGGGTTGGGCGGGGGGGGGGGGAGAGCAGCCAATGGGGCGGGTGGAGGGGCGGGGCTTGCAGTGCGCTCGAGAGGGAGCGCGGAGGTGGTGGGTGGAGCCCGGCGATTGACGTAGAGCGGTGGCCAATGGGCGAGCTCGGAATGGATGGGTCGGTGGGTGGGGGGGAGAGCAGCCAATCAGGAGGGTGGAGGGGCGGGACGTGCAGCGTGCGCGCTCGGGAGTGGAGGGCGAGTGAGTGACGCGGTTTGAATTGTGACCAGTAACGGACTTTCCCGCCTTTGCCGCCGTGAGGTGACTGACGGACGAGAGAGAAGAGAGAGAGCGCGCGCGCGGACGAACGGACGGGCGTCGTGTGAGGCGTCGGCCTTCCCCTCCTGTTCGCCTCCAAACCGCCCTGAGACCCCCTCACTCCTCCCCCCCCACACCGGACGCTAACACCGACGTCTCTCCGCAGGCCCTCCCCGAACATGCCGCTGCACAGGATCGCGCCCAGGCTGTGGGACGCCCGGCGGCTGGAGGGCGGCATCTACGCCCGGCTCCCCGCCCACTACCTGCGCGCCCTGCGGGAGGCCCGGCCGCCCGGCCCCGTCCACTGGCGCCGACCGCAGGCGGACGGCCGCCTCCCGGGTAGGGGGGCGGCGGACGCGCCGGTCCGGGTCTTCCACCCGCCGGAGTCCCAGCGCGGCCTGTGGGGCGGCGAGGGCTGGGTCGGCGGGTACAGATACGTCGACAACGACAAGGTACGGCGGGTTATTACCGGGTGGGGGGTGGGGGGAGGGGGTGTCGGTCACTGTACCGGACGACAGTGTCGGCCGTGACTCAGCCACGGGGCATTGGCGAATGGCCTCCTGTTTTGCGCCCCGATAGGGGGCGCTGTCGCTGCAGCAACAACAACAACAACAACAACTTGGGTTTGGCGGCGCCTCAGAGCGCTTCACGGTCACGTGTCCCCTGGGGGTGGGAGGGGGGGGGTGAGGGAAGGGCGGTCCCAGAGCCCGCAGGGGCGCGGCGGCCGAAGGGCGCGGCCGCCGAGGGCGGAGGGGAGGGCGGAGGGGAGGGCGGAGGGGAGGGGAGGGGAGGACGAGGGGGGAGTGGGATCTCTTTGTCGATGAACCGACCGGAAGGTGACGTGTTTGCCAACGGAATGTCAGAGTCGAGACGGATCCCCTCCAGTCAGTCATCTGGTCCCTGAGCCCCGGTGGGACTCCCGATAGCTCAGGGGCGCTGCTGCTCGCCGGCCAGACCTGGAACAGTCACGGGGGGGGTGCGGGGTGGGGTGGGGGGGACTCTTCCCGCTCAGCTCCTGCTAACCTTGCAAGCCGAGGCCTTAACTAACTGACGGAGGAGAGGCTGGTCCTCGCCGGACAAGACAGCGGCCGAAACGGCCAGCCATGTGGTTGTAGCTGCTCGGACTCCCATCAGTAACCCGGACGCACACACTGCGGTCCCCCCCCCGCCCCCCTGTCCTGTCCCCCCCCCCCCCAAGGCTCGGCTCTCGCCAATCTGCGCCTAATGGTTGCCGGAATCGGGTAAACAGGACGCGTCCCTCCAGGGAGAGGTTGTCCGTTCCGTTCCAGTAAATATCTTGGGAGTTTCCACGTGTGGATGGGATGCCTGGAGCTTCGTTTGGATGCTCATGGAACTTCAGATGAGACATTAAACCAAGTCTGTCTGTCTGTCTGTCTGTCTGTCTGCTCAGGTGGATGTTAAAGATCAAAAAGAGAAGGGAGTTTCTCCCGGTGTCTTGGTCCACAAATTCCCCCCCTCATAAAATTGGCCACTCACTCTGTGGCTGTTTGTGGCCACACTGCTGCCTGCAACTGACTTCTGCATTTCGCCCGCAAAATACACAGTCATCCCATTTCGCAGTAAACCCTGAGTCATCCCGACAGTGTGATCAGTGGCTCCGCTGAATGCGAGGATTGTTGTCGTCGCTGTGGCAAAAGCCCTCAGTTTGGCCGAGATGCTCTTGATCGTGGTGATCGGCTTCTGCACATGGCAGGGGGCACCCCGCCAACCAGAAGAAAGTTACCCTGCTGCAGTCTGACTCTCTGCCCGTTTGTTTGCAGCTTGCCCCACGGGTAAAGAAAATTTGGAAACCTCAGTTATTTATGCGCGAGCTTTCCAGCGAAATCCTGGACAAAACGTTCACCCTCACAGTGACCATGCGGACCCTGGACTTAGTGGACGCAGCCTTTGGCTTTGACTTCTACATTCTGAAGGTACGGATTGCGTACGTCGGGGTCAGTCACCAGCCTGATGCGACCAAACTCTTTTTTGGGGGTCATCGCCCCCTTTTTTTTAAAAAAAAATAATAATAATTTGATGACTCAGCCCTCAGCTGTTTGTGGGACGCTGCCGTGCGCATTGGGCTGCCGCGTTCCGCCCACAAAATATACAGTCAATTCACTTTACAGTATATCCTTTGAAGCGCTTTGAGACGTCTCGAAGACGTGCAAAGGCGCTATATCAAATGCAAGGGTTATTATCATAATGTTTCGCTGCATTGAGCGCCTCACTACCAGGGATTGATTGGTTATTTCTCCAGGTATCTTGACATTTAGCTTAGTTTCTTCCCCTTCCTAGCTACAGACTTGCCCTTCTCCCTTCACTCTTCACTCCTTCTGGACGTGGGTGGGGGGGGGGTAGAGGGGCCGACTCTTGACAGGATAATAATTAAAAGAGTAAAAAAAAAACATTGTCAATTCACTTTGCAGTATATTCTGTGAAGCGCTTTGAGACGTCTGGAAAGGCACCGTATCTGATGCAAGGATTATTATTATAACTGTTCCTCAAGGCGAGCTTGAGGGCGTTGGTTAGTGGGAATTCGATGAGAGTCTGTGGGCCAACTGATACTAGTGTTGGTGTGTGCTTCTCTCAGACATCCAAGGAGGACTTGCAATCGAAGCTGGGGATTGACTTGAAGCGGGCAATGCTGCTGCGCCTGGCTCGTAAGGACACGGACCTGCACCCCAACGATCCTGTCAAGCGGGAGTCCATCTTTAACAAATATAAGGTACAGCTCGAGGGGCTGGGCCAGGCAGGGAAGAGCTCACTGTGTGAGCTTGAAAAATATATGGAGAGGTTTGAGACTCGAGTCATAAAACACTGGTTGGAGACGTGCAGGAGGGAGGTCAGACCGGCTGGTGACTGTCATATCAACCTCTCCGCTCGGCAAGCTCCGGCCTGCTCCACGTCCTCCGCCCACCCCATCCCACCATTGGTGGTCAAACCTTCGACCTCTGCCCCCCCCGCCCCCCAAACTCTATTCCACATTCCTTCTGCCTTGCCCCTCCTTTGCCTCCTTCAAGGCTTGTCTCAAGACCGCCCTCCACCCCTCCTGATCCCAACCCACAACTCCAGTCCAAACCCTTGACTGCCCAGCGCCTTGGGACGTCCTCCCGACATGAAAGGCGCCGTGTAAATGTAATATGTTGTTGTTGATACAGGGGCCGCCCTGGTGCGGTGGCCAAGGCCGTGAGAGTATCATTAGTCTCTCTCGTTTCAGGCGTTTGCAATCCCGGAGGAGGAGGCAGAGTGGGTTGGGCTGAGCCTGGAAGAGGCGGTGGAGAAGCAGCGAGTCCTGGAGAAAAAGGTGTGAGAGAAAGCTGTGCAAAGTATGAATGGAGTTTGTGAACGTTTCTAAGTCCTTTCCTAAGGAGCAGCCACCACGGGTGCAGCCAGTGGCTTGATGCGGGAGGAATGGGAGCAGACCAGGTCTCCAGGGGCCTACCATACAATCAACATTCCGGCCGCAGCCTCACTCAGAGCCCACTCTCGCTGGTCACTGTGGATGGCACAGCTCGGAGAACCCGAGAGCATTACATTCCCGACTGCGCACTGCTGCCTGCCCACACTGCGCCCTCGCTCCCCCCCCTGTCAGGCAAGCGGGGAAATCCTCCCACCCACGGGGAATCCCCGCATTGCTGGTATCTAAGTGACTCTCAACAAACAACTCTGAGCCCTAACGATAATTACCCCGGATCAGCTGAGTTATCAGCATTAATGCCGTCACTCGTGGAGTAAAGTTCCACAGGACTTGACGGAAGAGACCTGGTTCCCGACACAAGGAGCCTCGTGCCAGCACCCGCTCTCTCTCTCCCCTCTCTCACTGTGCAAGGCCCAAGTGTTGCCCCTCATCAATTGAAGCATGAAGCCGGGAGCCAGCGCTGGAGGGGAATCCTCCTCGTTCGTGCTTCTTTGCGGTTTACGTGTAAACACGATGGGTGAACCGCAGCGGGGGCGGTGGGGCGGTGGGGGGGGGTTTCCTCTCATTGTTTCCATTGCACCGGAACATTGTCAGGAACTGCTGGAAGGTGTCTGTAACCTTCAGCCTCTGTAACCTGACTTAACGCTGGAGTAGAGACGCAGCCTCGTCATGCGCAGGCGCACAGGCACAAGCGCGCGCACAGGCACAAGCGCGCGCACAGGCGTACGGGCTCAGGCGTACGCGCACAGGCAGAGAGAGAAAATTAACCAGGTATAGAATGGGTTTCTCTTATGAAAAGATGGAGTTTTTTTTTCGCTGTCCCAGTGTGTAGTTTCCCGCTCTCCTGTTTGTGTGCGCGCGAGCGCGCGCGCGTGCGTGTGCGGTGCGCGTGTCGCCCGCCCGTGTGTAGGATTGCACGGTCTTATTCTACGACTGTGCTGCGCTGGGAGCAACCATAAGGGGGCGCTGGAGATTGTCATTTGACCAACTCGCGTTTCCTTATCACGGAGATTTCCTGCGTTGGGGGCCACAGTGAACACGTGTCAGGCAGTGACTCCGGGTGGTATTTCTGCCCTCCTGGTCTTACCTCAGAATTCGGAAAGAATTCCTGAAAGCTCAGTTCCTAGAAGTATTTTTCTGCAATGCGGGGGGGAAAATGGGGAATTCTGCCGGTGGTTGCGATTGGGAATCGTGTCGTCTCGGGTCAGGAGACGTTGGCTCGAGTCCCGCATCAGGGATTTGAACCCACAGTCCAGGCTCTCACTCAGTTGTAGCACTGTGGTGTGCTGCGTTGCTGCTATCTTATGGCTCAGTGGTTCGAGCGCTCGCCTCGTAAGCAAGAGATCTGTGTTCGATTCCCGGGCGGGGCGAAACGTTGGGCAAGTTTCCTTACTCCACACGCCTCTCTTTACCCGGCAGTAAGTAGGAACCCGGTTGCTAATCCACTGACGGATCGTTTTACTGGGGATAATAACCCCTCAACAAAAAAAAGAACAATAATTTGGTTACAGCTGTTTGCGGGGACGCTGCTGTGCGCAATTGGCTGCCACGATTGGCCCAGAAATATACAGTCGCTTCACTTTGCAGTATATTCTGTGAAGAGCTTTGAGACGTCGCGGGGACGTGAAGAGCGCTATGTCAAATGCAAGGATTATTATCATCTCGGTCCCACGGGTGAGATGTTAAACCGAGACCTGGCGTGGGCACGTTGATAGGTGTACGTTAAAGATCCCGTGACACTGTTGGGAAAGAGAAGGGAGTGTGTTCCAGCGCCCTGGCCAACAATCCTCCACATTAATCATTCTTCTTGTGGTTATCTCTGCAATTTGGATGCCGCGTTCACCTAAAAATGAGTCCCTGCGTGCAGTTGACCATGATTAACTGAAACCCACAGCGACATTTTGGCCCTAAGTTGACGTTCTTTCTTTAATGTGGTGTTTCTGTGTAACTTTCCTCCAGGACCCAGTGCCGCTGTTCAGAGTCTACGCCGAGGAGCTGGCCAACAAGCTAGTGGCTAAAGCACTGACAGAGCCGGTGACCGTGAGCAGGAAACAATAGTCGTGTGAGACGACGACTGAACTTTTCCCTGTAACCCCCTCCTTGTGTTGGTTAGAGATGGCGGCTCTCCTGCAGGGTAAACGTGCGCTGGCTGTGCGACTAAGCGGTGTATGCAGCGCGCGAGCGGGACGCTTGAAGCTTTGGAAGTCTCCTGGAGCGTGTCACCCCGTGCCATGGTGGTTTGTGATTGTTGTCACTCAGACACACAATAAGAAGCTGTGGAGAGTTTTCATGTGTCCGTCGTTTCCTTCCTGCTCCGCGAGGAAAGCCTCGAAGCTTTATTACTGAGGGGGAGGCCTGTATGGACCGGCATTGGGTGAGGATCTGGGCTCAGCTGTGAATTATCACTGTTCCCCACACGGTCGGTCCCCTGACGACCTGCTCACTGCTCAGCTTCACGCAGTCGATAGCCACTCGACCAAGCACCATAAGGTACCTGTGTCTGTGTGTGCCTTGAGTGTGCATCTGCCTCCACACAAGCAAACACCTGGGGAACACCACAGCGTTAAGGGAAGCAAACCAGTGGTGCGGGTGGATGGGAAGATTCTTACCCCCCACCCCACCCCCCCGCCCTCCTCCCACACCCCCCCCGCAAACAGCTGGTACAGGTGTGAACAAAACCGGTTTGAAGAGAAAACCTGCTGCATACATAGGGGAGAGGGGAACAGGAGGGGTGGAGAATTGGCATCGTTGGGCTAAATGGCCTATTCCCTGCTGTGTCACACTGTGTCGGTAGCGGCCCGGCCACAAGAGACGGGGCGTGTGGGGGAATATCGAGTGGTTTTTAACCTAAGGCAGATGGTTCTTTTGTGCCTCCGTTGATTTTAAAACGCCGTTTGTTTTTATAATTACCGGCTCCATTTCTCTTTGTCTTCTAATTGGTTTGCAGTCAGGCGATGATTTGCTGCGCCGGGAATCTTTCTGTTTCCGTTGCTTCCCTGAGGAGGGGGTGTAGGCGCCGACTCGCTTCCTGTTCTGCTGCGCAACCTGGGAACATTGTCCTGTGTTGAACGTCCCCGGCTTCTCCACGTCCCACTCGCATAGCGGGCATTGGTCTCCGTCGTTACTGCCTCCTAGTTTGTGTCCCACAGTGTAATGGTAATCCTTGCATTTGATACGGCGCTTTACCACGTCGTCGAGACGCCACAAAGCGCTTCACAGAATACGCTGTAAAGTGTAGTGACTATATTTTGTGGGTGAAACACGCCACCGCTGTGTCCCCAGCCGAACACACCTTCACTACTCGCTACTGGCTACCAAATAGCCGTTCGCTAATCCAGTTTAACCGATTACCATTCTGTCCCAACAACGTCAACTGTCTTTGAAATCCACTGTTTCACTTCCACCCATTCGGCCTTAACGTGTTAAAACCTGACCTCCTGCTGATAAAACCACACAATGTGAGCGTTTCCTGCAGTAAGTTCTCCCTGGGCTGTCGTTGAGTTCTCTCGGAGGTCGATGTCAGTGGATCACATGCCTGGGAAGGTTAATTGAGGAGATATGAAGAAAGTCCTTTTCCCCTTGTGAGGTGAGCTGTGTAGGAAGAGCTGGACTCTGATTTTGACTCTGGTCAGTCAACGCCTCGCTCTCTCTCTCGTTCCCATGACACTTGGCTCACCTGGACTCACTCTCACAACCTGACTCTGGCTTCGAGAAGCCTCGGCTTGAGGTGAAGCAAATACCACAACTTTTTACAGGACACAGGTCTATTAGCTTTGCTCAGACACACCAGAGCTTTAGTGGGGAACAATCTGATTCGTATGGTCGGAAACAGGAACTGCTGGAACACCACAGCTCAAAGAAGAACTTACATTTTTCGAGCACCTTGTCACAGTGACCTACCTTAGAGTAGTTTGCAGAAGTTACTGCAAGTGTAGTGACTAGGTGAATCCTGCGCACACACACACACACACACACACACACACACAGCCTGCACACACACAACCACCAGGTGAATGACCCAGGGGTCTGGACAATTGTCGGGCAAGACACTGGAAGAAACTCTTCTCTTTCGCAAAAGCATTGGGGGAATCTTTTAAGGTCCATCTGAAAAGACATAGATGTAGTTTGACGTCCTATGTAGAGATGGCACCTCCAACAACTTGGCCCTCCTCCCAGTGCTGTACTGAACATGCCCCGAGATCGTGAGCTCACAGTACCACAGTAGGTCTTGGACATCATCACCATAACCTTCCGAAAATAAAATTGGTTCATGTTTCAGGTGCAACTTCCATCAGAACTGAAACGTGTGTGTGTGTGTGTGTGTGTGTCCCGCGCACGTGCGTTGCATTTGATATAGCATCGTATCACGTCGTCGAGATATCTCAAAGCACTTCACAAAATACACTGCAAAGAGCAGTGACTGTGCATTGTGTGGGCGAAACGCACCACTGAACTGCGCACAGCGGTGTCCCACAAACAGTCGTGGATTGAGTGGCCAAAGTATTTTTTTTGAGGGATTCTTACCCCCGGTTAGCGAACTGCCAATTGACTAACAAGCGGGTTCCTACTTACCGCTAGTTAAATGGGCGTGTGGAGGCGGGGAACTTGCCTAAGGTTTCACCCTGCCCGCCCTGTCTTGAAACAGATCTCGAAAGGGGCGAGGAGATGGAGTCCCAGTGAGTTGGGGCAGATAGGCGGACCAGGCACGTGGGCAATCCACGGCGGGGGATTCATCAAACACCTGCCGAATGGAGGGTGTTGAGCACCATGAACGACCTTAGCGGGGTTTAATAATAATAATTCTTGCATTTGATGTAGCGCCTCGTCACGTCTTTGAGATGTCTCGGAGCGCTTTTTAGTGACCAATTTATCACTTAAAATTTTTTTTAAAGGGATTATTACTCCGGAAAAGCGTTCTGCCAATCGACTAACAATCAGGTTCCTACTTACTGCTCGGAAACGGGGGGCATATGGGGTAAGGAAACTTGCCCAATATTTCGCCCTAACATTGGGACCTAAGAAGCTCACAGAGGTGGGTGGTGGTGGGGGGGGGGGGGGGAGAAGATTCTGAAGGGATCGAGGGGAAGGGTGAGCCTTTGGAACCGGGCGAGGATGGGGGTCATGGGCTCATGGATGGTCCAAGCAGTTGTCCTGAAATGGAGGGGAAAGGCAGAGAGATAGGGTCGGGTGTCATCCACGGGCATGTGCGAGTTGACCACGTGCCTGCGGATGCCACGGTTACTGCTCAATGGGCAAATCTTACAAGAGGGGCACGGAGAGTGGGCGAGGAGGCACAGACGGGAGCTGCACTAGCAGCAAGGGGGGCGCGGGCAGCCTCTCCCTTCTCGAGGATAAACATTTTGCTGTCGCTCCGCCACCTCTTTCAGGAAGCAGAACCCCGCCAGAGCCTCCGGGTCAGAAAGCCGTGGACGCGACGCTCCGCAAACCGGCCGCTTTGGATTGGAAAAGCAGAGGGACGAGGCCCTGCCTGCAAGAGGACGCGCGCCCCGTAATTGGTAGCAGAAGGTTTGCAGACGAAGGCTGAGCGGAGAGGAGAGCCGGGTTAAGATTACGGACTTTCCCAGGCTCCAGGCCAGAAAACAAACGAGCAGATGAGGTAAGCAGCTATTTCTGGCCTCAAAACGTCCTTCCCGTTGCATTCGGTTGGGGGGGGTGGGGGGGGGGGGGAAAAGATTGCGCCTGGGGCTCGCTGCAGTTGGGCGCACACAATGACAGGGGCAACACTGAAGTGCGGGGAGCAAATGTTTATTTGACACGGTAATCGTCTCCAGCTGCAGGGGGTGGTGGGGGGGGGTGGAACCAGAAGCCTGGTTGTCACCGAGGTGGGGGGAGAGAGAGAGAGAGAGAGAGAAAGAGAGAGAGAGAAGGTAAACCCGAGCTGGATTGTGCACACGACGAGGCTGTTAAACCGACTCCCCTCAGCGTCACTGGCGTGGAATCGATGCCAGGCGGCGCTTTCATCTTTCACGCGCCGACTTAATAAGGGAAGCGTTTCGCGAGACTGTGCGCGTGCAGTGATAACAACCAGTGCGTTTGAGGTGACGCCTTTCGTGTCGGGGCCGAAGCTCTTCTCGCAGGATTTACCGCAGAGTGCGGTGACTGTGCGTTTTGCAAGCGAACCTTTGTGGAGTCCTGTAGCTCAGTGGTTAGAGCACTCGCTTTGCAAGTGAGAGACCTGTGTTCAATTCCCGGCAGAGGGCGAAACCTCGGGCAAGTTTCCTTACTCCACACAGAGCCTAATAATAATCCTCCAAAACCAAAAACAATAATAAATTGGTCATTTTCAATCCACGACTGTTTGTGGGACATTGCTGTGCGCCATTGGCTGCCGCGTTCGCCCACAAATATACAGTCAATTCACTTTACAGTGTGTTCTGTGAAGCGCTTTGGGACGTCCTCCCGACGTGAAAAGCGCTATATCAAATGCAAGGATTATTATTATTATTATTAAAACCTGCACGGTGATGCGCCACAGACCCATGAAGCAAGCGAAAATTGTTTGCCGGGGACAAGGGGATAAACTCCGTGTGTGTGTGTGAGATTCTTTTTCATTCATGTAGTTTCGCCCACGAAATATACAGTCAATTCGCTCGACAGTGTTATCCCGTGAAGCACTTTGAGACGTCTCGAAGGCGTGATCGGTGGGCGGGGCTGGATCAGATGCAAGGATTATTATTATTATTATTATCAGAGTACGTGTGTCCCCGTTCTGTGTATGACTGCGGGGTTAAGGCAGGTTACAGGTGCCTCCTTCCAGCAGCTCCTGAGTCACCGAGCTGGTGCGATGGAAAGTATAAAGCAGGAAACCCCCTGGTGTGTTTGTGCGCCGCGCTCACACAAACACACACACAAAACACAAGTGAAACATGAGTTAAGGTAACGGCCACGGATTCCCCTCAAGCGCTGGCTCCTAGTTTCGTGCTTCAATTGCTGTCCTCGTTGGGGGCGGGTGGGGGAGGCAAGCAGGATCTCCTCGGAGCTGAGCTGGCTCCAAGGTGACCTGCCTGGCAGTGGCGTGTCGGGATCGAGCCACCCCTTTGCGACAGTGTCTAGTTCGGTTCCTGAGCCCAAGTGGGTCCGCGGTAGTCCAAGGCACTGCTGATGGCAGCACAGCCCGGCCCGGCTCATCGGCAGGACTTGGAAGGGCCGACCAGTCACTGGGGGCAGAGAATCCTCCCCCACAGCTCCTGTTAACCCTGCGACCAAAGCCCTAACTGACGGGGAGGGTGGTCCTCGCTGGACAAGCAGCGGGAAAGCTTGCAATA